ACATGGTTGCATTCGACGACCTTCAGCAGGGCAGGCATCTGACCCCGGCACACTTCTTCCGCTATATGCAGATCAGGGATTTCGCTGCCCAGCCGTCCATTAAGGAAACGGCGATAAAACCCCTAACCTTTTTTGAGCGCATATGCACCACGGAAAGCATACCCAGAGGACTGACCTCAACACTATATATGCACTTATGCACGGAGACGGAGGAAAGGGGGGGATTAGCATATACTGAGAAGTGGGAGAAAGATTTGGGAGAAGAGCTAGAGGGGGTGGAGTGGCAGGAGATATGGGAGGCGAACAACACCTCCTCAATCTGTGTATTACACCAGGAACAAGCATTTAAGACAATGTTTCGCTGGTACTCAACCCCAGTAACCCTGTACAAAATGCACAAAACCAGTACAGACCTATGCTGGAGGGGCTGCGGAGCCAGGGGAACGTACCTCCACATGTGGTGGGAATGCCCTGGAGCAATTCGTTTTTGGGAAGCGGTGCACGACCTGGTGCGACAGGTGTTCTCCAGGACACACGCGTTGGAACCATGGGTATATCTCCTGAGTAGGTCGGTAGAGGGATGGACGCGAAGGGAGCAACAGCTGCTCCACAAAATCACGCTGGCAGCGCGACAGGCTATGGCCCTTAAATGGCTACAGCAGGACCTACCGCATTTACAGAGCGTGATCGATAGGATAAAAGATATACGGGTGATGGATGACCTCACCGCTAGGGTCAGGGGCACCACCACGACCTTCCAAAAGATGTGGGAGCCATGGGTCGGTTCCAAGTGGGGCGATGATGCGGGTAGGGGCGCGACCTAGGCGAAATAGACCGAGGTGAGTGTAGTGGACTGAGGGCGGGGTCCGGTGGGGCGAGATCTGAGGGGGGGGCGGCGCTTCGTGCTCTCTTCCCCCCCCTTCCTCCTGCCGCCTCTCTGCCTCCCATGCCCGGGCCCTGGGCCGCCTAAGGACTCCTATCTTACTTCTACCTTTTCTTTCTTCTCTCTCTTTCTCCAAACCCCTTTATGGGGAACAAACCTAGACGAGAGTGCCAAAAGCACAATACATGCACCAGACAAAGGCAGGCCAGGGGGCAGCGGGATGGGGCTGGACCAAGCAGGCGGGAGGGTAGACAGGCAAATATAACAAATATAACAACCCGACAGACATGCACTCGACGGCGTCAAACCTTACTAGCGGTGTGAAAAAGTGCTACGAGGGCACACACAACAGGGCACATAAGGAAACCGTGCCTCGACACGGTAACAACCGTGACGGATGGTGCAATTAAGACACAGAGCAGTTACTCATATATGCTAAGCCGCAGGGTTTGAATGTGATTGTGTATACACAGTAGTACATGGGCTTCTGCGAAAGCCGAACTGCAATTTCTATGCCACTGATCCTGTCACGTAAAAATTCAAAAATAAAGAATAAAAAAAAAAAAAAAGGGAATCATGACATGTCACACATGTCATGTGTCCTTAAGGGGTTAAAGCGGCACTGTCATGGCCGAATCCCGTTTTTATTAAGCCCCCCCTCCCGCCTCCACTATCTCTAACTGACCCCCTGGTCACCCCCAAATGCCCCTAAGCCCCCCATATTACCTATTTTTATATCTTTATTTTCTGCCCCGATTTATATTCAGGGCGCTGCCATCTTTGTGTGGGTAGATGAAGGCCCTGTGGGACATGTCATCTGCCCACACTAGATAGACTGTGAGATTCCCGCACATGCCCAGTTAAACACTTGGACATGCGAACGGGAATTTCATCTATTCATTCATCAGAAAGCTGAATGAATGAATAGCAATGTCAGACGAACAAACAAAGACTGAGTATCAGTGTTCGTTTGTTCGTTCAGTTTATTACAAGGAGGGAGCTACTGGCACACAGCTCCCTCCTTGTAATATGTAAAGATACAAGCGGCGGGGAGCACAGCTTCATAAGCCCCCAGGTCCCCCCCTCACTCTACGGGGGTCAATATGACCCCCATAATAGCATAAGGGAGATTAAAATCTCCCCAATGCCCCTACTTGCGATACCGTGAGTAGGGGCATGTCCACTAAACAGTTCCTACTGTCCTCCCCTCCTGACCCCCACCCCTGAGAGGTGGGTGGGGGCCCTAAAAAACAATAAGGGGGGACCTACTGTCCTCTCCCCAGCCCCCACCCCTGAGCGGTGGGTGCGGGCCCTATATAAGAATGGTGGGGAGGGACCTACTGTCCTCCCCCCTGGCCCCCACCCCTGAGCGGTGGGTGGGGGCCCTAAAAAACAATAAGGGGGGGGACCTACTGTACTCCCCCCGGCCCCCACCCCTGAGCAGTGGGTGGGGGCCCTAAAAAACAATAAGGGGGGGACCTACAGTCCTGAGCGGTGGGTGGGGGCCCTAAAAAAACAATAAGGGGGGGACCTGCTGTCCTCCCGGCCCACACCCCTGAGTGGCGGGTGGGGGCCCTAAATAAAAATAGTGAGGGGGGAATAAAATAACTAACCTGTAAACAAAAATTAAACTTACCATTTGACGTCTTCTTTTTTCTAAAATCTTAATTTTTCAGCCCCAAACAAGGCCAAATAAAAAGCCATCATACCCGTCGAATTTAAAATAAAATAAAAAAACCTGAGTGCAAAAAAAAAATCCAGACGAAAAAGAAAAAACCCGACGGTAAAAGAAATGAATCCATCTTCACCCAGGGGGAGGACAGTAGGTCCCCCCTTATCCTTATTTAGGGCCCCCACCCGCCACGCAGGGGTGGGGGCAGGGGGGGGAAATAGGTCCCACCACATTGTGATTTATGGCCCCCACCCACCGCGCAGGGGTGGGGGCCGGAGGAGGGGAGGACAGTAGGCCCCCCCTCATTGTCATTTAGGGCCCCCATCCGTCGCCCATGGGTGGGGGCCGGGGGGGAGGACTATAGGTCCCCCCCTTATTGTTATTTAGGGTGCCCCCACCCGCCGCGCAGGGGGGGAGGCGGTTAGTAGGTTTTTAGTTTTTTTTTTAACAGTGAGCAGCCACAGGCGGTATAGCGAGTAGGGGCTGAATTTACTAATACTAAGTAATCTTTACTTAGTATTAGTAAATGTGGCTGAAAGCCTATGGCTGCTCACTGTTTAAAAAAAAAAACCTACTAAATAACAATAAGGAGGGGAGGACCTACTGTCCTCCCCCCGGCCCCCACACCTGAGCGGTGGGTGGGGGCCCTATATAAGAAGGGTGGGGGGGGAACTACTGTCCTCGCCCCCTGGCCCCCACCCCTGAGCGGTTGGTGGGGGCCCTAAAAAACAATAAGGGGGGGACCTACTGTCCTCCCCCCCGGCCCCCACCCCTGAGTGGTGGGTGGGGGCCCTAAAAAACAATAAGGAGGGGACCTACAGTCCTCCACCCAGCCCCCACCCAGTCCTCCACCCAGCCCCCACCCCTATATAAGAATGGTGGGGAGGGACCTACTGTCCTCCCCCCTGGCCCCCACCCCTGAGAGGTGGGTGGGGGCCCTAAAAAACAATAAAGGGGGACCTACAGTCCTCCCCCGGCCCCCACCCCTGAGCGGTGGGTGCGGGCCCTATATAAGAATGGTGGGGAGGGACCTACTGTCCTCCCCCCCGGCCCCCACCCCTGAGCGGTGGGTGGGGGCCTTAAAAAACAATAAGGGGGGGACCTACTGTCCTCCCCCCTGGCCCCCACCCCTGAGCAGTGGGTGGGGGCCCTAGAAAACAATAAGGGGGGAACCTGCTGTCCCCCTGGTCCCCACCCCTGAGCAGCGGATGGGGGCCCTAAATAAAAATAGTGAGGGGGGAATAAAATAACTAACCTGTAAACAAAAATTAAACTTATCATTTGACGTCTTCTTTTTTATAAAATCTTAATTTTTCAGCCCCCAAAAAGGACAAATAAAAAGCCATCATACCCGTCAAATTTAAAATAAAATAAAAAACCTGAGTGCAAAAAAAAAATCCATCTTCACCCAGGGGGGAGGACAGTAGGTCCCCCCCTTATCCTTATTTAGGGCCCCACATTTTGCTCCTCCACTGGTCAAAGCTGGTCAAGCGGAGGAAACCTCCATAAGGCAAAGAGTTCCTACTTTGTCTTATGATTTTAAAGAAAACTAAAGACAACAGGAAGAAAAGAAGAACAGATCCTGAGAGAGGGGGAGAAGAGGAAGAGATTGAGGAAAGGTAATTTCAGCATGACAGTGCCGCTTTAAAGGATCACTATAGGGTCAGGAACACAAACATGTATTCCTGACCCTATAGGGTAAAAACCACCATCTAGCCCCCCTGGGCCCCTCATGCCTCCATAAATATAGCAAGATCTTACTGTATTCAAGCCTGAAGCTGTAAATCTGCATGCTGTTTGACTCATTAAAAAAAGCAGTCCGCTGACATCATCAGAAGTGGTAGCCTGATCCAATCACAATGCTTCCCCATAGGATTAGCTGAGACTGACAAAGAGGCGGATCATGGGCAGAGCCAGCATGATTCAAACACAGCCCTGGTCAATCGGCATCTCCTCATAGAGATGAATTGAATCAATGAATCTCTATGAGGAAAGTTCAGTGTCTGCATGCAGAGGGAGGAGATACTGAATGCTTGGATGCATTTTAGGCAGCCATGACCCAGGAAGGATCTCTAAAAGCCATCTGAGGAGTGGCCAGTGAAGTTATGACTAGGCTGTAATGTAAACACTGCATTTTCTCTGAAAAGACAGTGTTCACAGCAAAAAGCCTGAAGGTAATGATTCTACTCACAAGAACAAATTAAATAAACTGTAGTTGTTCTGATGACTATAGTATCCCTTTAAGCATCTCTATTGCCTCTGAAAAAAACACCTCTTCAGGCAGAGAATTCCACATTCTAATAAAACAGCTGACTAAACCTACTAAATAGTTCTATCAAACCTTGCTGATCACTGCCCTCACAAAGAAGACCCGGAGATCTCCCTACAAAAATGACAGATATTCAGCTCTCGTTTGAAAGGCCTATGCTGCGAATACCCCCTAAGATGGCGCACAAACCGCTCAGCGACAAGGACGCCTCACAGAAATCTCTTGATGATGAAAGGACTCCTACCTTGACTCTGGTGGGAACTCGCTCTATTGATACAGAGTCTGATGTGGATTTCTCGCTGGCAACAAAAAGGAATCAAAAAAATTTCATGCTGGACATTCGGTGGGTGTGGAAAGCTGACATGCACAGAGCTTGGGACCCCAAAACAGAGAATCGCTGATGCAGAATCCAAGGAAGTGGCTAGACAACAGAAGCCACAAACTACCTAAGACCACATGCAGAACTCACTCATCAGATCCAGAAACTTACCCGAATGATGACCGTGCTGGAGTTCAGGCACAGAAGGAGGGATATCCGCCTTCAGGGCATACCGGAGCGAATTGGAGGGGACACAGCGCTACCCTTGCCTTAATGGTCATCAGAGGAAGCACAGACCTAGGGTTAATATTTTCAGCATTTAGGATCCACAAAGCCACTGCTGCCCCAGCGGGCGCACTAAAAGACGTAATTGCAGTGAATAAACATATCACGGTTCAGTCCGCTGTCATGTCCAGTTCCAGAGAGCTTGGAATCGCCGATTTAAGGCTGTGACATAGCCATATAAGGAGATCACCCGTTTGCAGTATTAGCGGTAAAGAGCCCACTGGCACCGGTGACCAGACAGCCGAGGGATGCGTCAATTCGATACTGTTGGGGGTGGATGGCTCCTTCTTGGTCTTGAAGGGGGATGACATACTCACCCTATCCTGTTCTGAGAGACTTTCCTAAAGAGACTGAATGTGCCTGCAGCAACCCCAGTGAAAGCCCAGAAGATCGGAACCAATGCACAGCATGAATTCAAAATTCACCCTCTTAACTCACAGTCCCAATTCTAAGTTAACACCTTGCTTATCTTCGACATATAGAGTCATAGTGACTCTCCATTGTTAAAGAACTTCATTAGAACTCACAGAATGTCACAAAGCAAGCATCCCTTTACTTAATTTGTTATCTATGTTTTATTTTACTTTCAGTATTGTCTTGTGTTAAAATTCTAGACCAGTTGGGGTTGAGACAAGCTAGTAGTAATTGACATTACTTGTCTCAAATGCCAGAATGTCCAGCAAATTATGTTTTTAAATGTTACTTGTTACTGTTTACACATACCTCACCACCTGTACCAACTAAGATTTAGATTTTAAAAAAGTATGTAAAAAAAAACTGAAATAGAAGAAACATCTGCGCTGTATGTGCCAAGAGGCCACTATAAATTAGAAGTGAGGACTCCAGGCCCTTTGCTGGAGAATGTGCTTAGCCTATGCCCACTAGAGAAAACAACGTACCCAGTAGATTGTTATTGCTCATGTCCCAGACAGCAGTGCTCCACCAGCCCCAGGCTCTTGCATGGTCCAATGCACTTTGCCCACAGGTCCACTCGCATTCTGCAATCCAAATGTATTGTCGGGTTCTTTCCGTGCTGAACATCCACCTCCCGGTGATGTGTGCTGTGTCTAGAGAATCAACCCTGGCGGGACTGAGGTCTAGGAAAGTGACAGCTGCCAACAAAACTGAACCTGAATTGAGGTGCCAGTCATTTATTCTTTCTCTGCTTCCTTGCTTTCTGTGCCAAGGTAAATAAGGCTCTGAATTGAGGGCACTGACAGGGATCTTGATGGTCAGATTGTGTGCATGCTCCATTTCCCCCTTTGTGCCGATGGGGGTTATACCAGTCCCACCATTACAACGCATACTACTTACCTGTCACCTGGGCGATCCACATATGGTAATTGAGCACGGACTGTCTAGGCAGACCACAGACCTTGATGCCAAATTCTTTGAAGAGCTGTAAGGAGGCCTTTCACATCAGAATGGGGGAAGAAATGCGATCTAAGTGACTTTGACCATGAAATAGTTTTGGGCTCTAGATGTGGTTGTTTGATAATCTTAGAATGTACTGATCTCCAGGGAATTACATACACATCAGTCTCTAGAAGTTACAAAGATTGGTGAGAAAAATAAAAATCTTATAGTAGGCGGCAGTTCACCAGGTGAAATAACTTTTTAACTAGAGAGGTCAGAAGGGAATGGCCACGCTGTTTTAGAATGACTAAAAGATAACAGTTACAAACATAAAAAAGTAAGTCCTGTGCTCATACTCCCACTACTCCTAGACGGCAGCCATGACTATAGTACACATCAGCCCAAATACACACAATAAATACCAAAAAAAAAGTTAAATGCGCACTATCCCAAATCACTACACACATTTAAATAACTGCAGTTTTTTTGGAATCACACCAAAGCTGATCTCCAGGGATTTACATACAAATTAGTCGCTAGCGTTTACAGAATTTGGTGAGAAAAACAATAATCATATAGTGGGTGGCAGTTTACTGAAATACCTTGTTCACTAGAGAGGTCAGAGAGGGATTGCCACACTGTTTTAGGATGAATGAAAGATAACAGTAACAGAAAATGTATTCCATACTTACCTAGTTTTCTTTTCCCGGTCATAGTCCATGGCAGTATTGCTATGAGTAGATCCCAGCCCCCAACAGCAACTGGACAAGTAATAAAGAAGGAATAAATAGGATCCTTCTTCCACAACTCCCCTCTCTGGACACTAGCCACACAAAAGAGGAAAAATGGTAAGGAAAGGGTCGTAATTCGTAATGCTGCCATGGACCGGGAACAGAAAATTACGGTAAGTATGGAATACATTTTCAGGTTTCCCTGCCATATCCATAGCATCCTCACTATCAGCAATATCCAAGCTATCAAAAAAGAGAGGGAACAAACATACCAAACAACAAGTCATGCTAAATTAAAAGTGAATTAAAATTATTATTATTAATATTAGTATATATATATATATATATATATATAGCGCCAACTAATTCTGCAGCACTTTACAATATTATAAAAGGAAGGGAAATTAACAATAATTGAGACAATTACACAGTGACACAGGAACAATAGTTAGATGAGGACCCTGCTCAAATGAGCTTACAGTCTAGAGGAGGTGGGGTACAAATACACAACAGGGCAGCAAGGGTGACCGCCACCAAACAAGGTGGAAAAGTAGCAGAGCTGGAGGTGAGAGTGGGTTATGGCTCTTTAGGAGAGCAAGAGACAGACTTGGATAAGTATAGATAAGTTACTCTGGGAGTCCATAAGCATTTCTGAACAGATGTGTTTTGAGGAACTTCTTAAGCAATTGAAGACTAGGGGAGAGTCTGATGGGGATAGGCAGGACTTCTCGCCAACCGCGAGAAGTCCTGCAAGCGCGAGTTAGCAGTAAGGGTGCAAGCAGCGGACAGGAGAAGGTCACTGGCAGAGCGGAGAGAACAAGAGGGGGCATATTCATTGTAGCAGGCAGTTCGGCTTTTGGGAAGACCAACTAGGAGAGAATTACAGTAATCCATGCAAGAGATTACCAGAGCATGAACAAACTCCTTGGCGGCATCTTGCGTGAGAAAGGGATGGATGCGGGCGATGTTTTTAAGGTGGAATCGACAGATTTTAGCACCATACTGGATATGTTGCGCATAGGTGTGGCCAGGATCAAAGATAGCACCAAGACAATGAGCTTGCAAGGATGGACTGATACAAGTACAATCAACTTGCTGGGAAAGCGAAGGAGGAGAATCAGCAAGGCTGGAAGAAAGTCAAGCAGTGACATGTTGTAGGACCGCGGGGGAGAGATCAGGGGAGGAGAGATATATCTGGGTGTCCTCAAAATACAGCTGGTAGCGGAATCCAAAGAACTTAATGATTTGGCAAGAGAGGCAGTAAAAAAAGAGAGAGAGAAGGTGACCAAGAACAGATCCTTGTGGGACTCCAACCGAGACAGGGCAATAGGAGGAAGTGTCATTGCAAAAGGAGACACTGAACGAACGTTGGGAGAGATAGGAGGAGAACCATGAGAGGACTGTGTCACAGAGACCGAGGGATCGAAGAGTTAGGAGAAGGAGGACATGATCAACAGTGTCAAAGGCAGCAGAGAGGTTAATAAGAATTAGTATGGAGTAGTGGCCTTTGGATTTAGCTGTGATTAGGTCATTTGTAACTTTAATAAGCGCAGACTAAGTAGAGTGGAGGGAGCAAAAGTCAGATTGAAGATGATCGAAGAGGGAGTTGAAATTTAGGAAGTGAGTCATACGAGTAAAGACAAGTCTTTCTAGAAGCTTTGAGGAAAAAGGAAGCAGGGATATGGGACGATTGTTGGAAGGGGAAGACGGGTCTAGGGATGGCTTTTTTAGGATGGGCATGACAGTAGATAGAAACATAGAAACATAGAATGTGACGGCAGATAAGAACCATTCGGCCCATCTAGTCTGCCCAATTTTCTAAATACTTTCATTAGTCCCTAGCCTTATCTTATAGTTAGGATAGCCTTATGCCTATCCCACGCATGCTTAAACTCCTTTACTGTGTTAACCTCTACCACTTCAGCTGGAAGGCTATTCCATGCATCCACTACCCTCTCAGTAAAGTAATACTTCCTGATATTATTTTTAAACCTTTGTCCCTCTAATTTAAGACTATGTCCTCTTGTTGTGGTAGTTTTTCTTCTTTTAAATATAGTCTCCTCCTTTACTGTGTTGATTCCCTTTATATATTTAAATGTTTCTATCATATCCCCCTGTCTCGTCTTTCCTCCAAGCTATACATGTTAAGATCCTTTAACCTTTCCTGGTAAGTTTTATCCCACAATCCATGAGCCAGTTTAGTAGCCCTTCTCTGAACCCTCTCTAAGGTATCAATATCCTTCTGAAGATACAGTCTCCAGTACTGTGTACAATACTCCAAGTGAGGTCTCACCAGTGTTCTGTACAATGGCATGAGCACTTCCCTCTTTCTACTGCTAATACCTCTCCCTATACAACCAAACATTCTGCTAGCATTTCCTGCTGCTCTATTGCATTGTCTGCCTACCTTTAAGTCATCAGAAATAATCACCCCTAAATCCCTTTCCTCATATGTTGAGGTTAGGACTCTATCAAATATTCTGTACTTTGCCCTTGGGTTTTTACGTCCAAGATGCATTATCTTGCACTTATCCACATTAAATGTCAGTTGCCACAATTCTGACCATTTTTCTAGTTTACCTAAATCATTTGTCATTTGGCTTATCCCTCCTGGAACATCAACCCTGTTACATATCTTAGTATCATCAGCAAAAAGACATACCTTACCATCAAGACCTTCTGCAATATCACTAATAAAAATATTAAAGAG